GAAAGTAATCTGATTTCATTTTGTAAGCAAAATTTGAATAATACAAAAGAGCTCAAGCTGGTTATACATATATGAAAATTCAGCATACATCATCCCCTTCCTTCTAGCATTTGTGTTAAGGCAAATAGACGTACACAAATGTCATCAAGTTTCTAGGAAGATTTAATTAACAAAGCTCAACTAGAACAACTCGAAAGTTATGCAATTATTTTCATATTAGCAAATTTCTAATCGAGAATCCTATAAACTCAAATCATGTGTATGTATATGTTCTTCTTATCTATATATGTATATTAAATAGAGTAACTCTGCTTAACGTTTCGTCATTTCCCATTGGAGTATTAAAATGTGTTTTTTATTTGGCATTTTCCTTGTGACTTTGACTAAATTTGAAATGAAAATTAATTTAGTTTGATTATAAATATTTGAAGCAAGGCTGCTCTGGCCGTAAGAAATGCAGTTATTAAAAAATAATTTATTCATAAACGCATTTCATAATCATTTATTTATTTGCGCAGCTCAAGTGCGGTTCGTTGCTTTTAAGACTGCAGAATTACTGTGAAATGTGTGCAAGTGTGTGTGTGTGTGTGAGAGTGTGTGTGGCTAATATACACGCAGAGTAAACGACGATATATGCAAACAACTTACATCTTAATTACATATCGCATATTAATACAATATTAATCATACGCCCTGTTGACACGCGCGCACTGGCCAACTGGTAACGTGGCCAACAAACGCATTGGCTATGCAGGATGGCAGCTTTGGTGGCAGGGGGGCCGTGTGTGTGTGTATGTGTGCGTGTGTGTGTCTATAGAATGTGTGCATATCTAAGCTATACAGCTGTTGCTGTTGTTGTTGTTGCTGTTGCTAGCATTGCTCTTGTTATGAGTGGACAACACACACATAACACACACACACACACATACACACACATACACACAACATATGGCGTTAATAAACTTCTAGCTGCTGCGGCAGTTTGTGTTTGTGTCCATCGTGCATGTTGGCTTGTATTTTATGGCCTCAAGTCAATTCTCTGACAAATGGCGAGCATATTTATTTATTTACTTTGGCTGCCAACGTCGCCAGCGTTGCTGAACCTACCTCCCCTCTCACCACCTTAAGCCCCCCCTTGTGTTGGCCACTCGTTTGCGTCACTTGCCAAGTGTTTATTCAACTTGCCAAAAGCAAGCAGAAAACTAAACATAAAAAAAAAAGAGCTAAAGGGAAATATATGTATGTATATACCCACATATATGTGTGCTGCTTACATATCGCTGTTAAAGTGTTTTGTGGCTTTGTACGAAACTCTTGCAAATTAATATTTAAATATGTTTTGCTGTTCCATTTTTATTTATTATTTATTTATTTATTTATTTTTGTTTGTTTGCTTTTTGCCTCGCTGCACAGCATTAAATGAAATATTTTTGCAATTTGCGCTTACTTTATTCTTAGTTAAATAATAATAATAATATGCATATTTATTTGCAGCCAAACCAAATCATGCACAAAATTAATAGAAATAAACTCCAATAATTCTAGTAATTTTTCACAGTAACACAAATGCCGCCAAATAGTTTCGATGAAAACAATTTCGGGGAATTTCAAAGGGGAAAAAATCTTTTGTTTGTCAAATATATTTTGTCGCTCGCCCAGAAACTGCAAATGTTTCGTTAAATTGCATTTAATTAAATAAAACCGAAAGCTATGCACAACAAAAATGCCCGAAGCGAAAATTCATTCAAATTCCTTTCAGCAAAATGACTTCTCTTTTTGTGAGAAGAAAACAAAATCAAAATAAACTTTTCGGCAATCAAAGGGATAAAAATAATAATAATGATACTCTCGTATGCATTTAAAGAGATTGTGGATTTGCTTTTTACTTATTCCTTGCATTGTTAAATATGAATAATTAAATAATAAATAAATGCAGTTGAAAGGAATTTTGAACTTAATTAAAACACAATCCTCAAAGAAAACTGCCAAAAGCTACTAAAACCTGTTGAAGTCAGTCGTATTAAACGAAAAATCAGATATTGGCTTTTATTTTTGGCCGCAAAAGGGGTATCATGCACTTAATAAGGATATCAATAGAAAGTCACGTGTATAAGCTTTTCGTTTTACAGACAGTTTTGTCATTCAGTGCTCAGGAGTAATTAATTCTTCATCTATAAAACTATGTTAAATAACAGAGCCTAACAGCGGAGCTTGTTAGTCGAGTCTGTTAAGTGAACAGCAATGCTGATTAGCTGAGCAGAATTGATTAACAGTTACAGCATAGCCCAATAGCAGAGTTTAACAGCGAAGTCAGTAGTAGAACCTGACAAGAGGCAGAGTTTGATACTGTAAAGTTAACAGAAAAGTCCTTTAACAGAACATGATTGATGCAAATAGATCAATCTAAAGCGGAATCTAGCAACAGCGGACTGTTTGGCAGTAGAGTGTAACAGTAGAGCCACACAACAGAGTCTGATTGCAGAGTTTGTGGCACTGTTAAAAGACACAGACCCGCTCAATTGTGAGTTTATTACAGAGGCCTACGATTTAACATTGTCTGAGTTTAATATTAAAGCTCAAGAGCAGAGACTAACATTAGTCAGAGAGACAAAGAGAGAGAGAGAGAGAGGGCGAGAGAGAGAGACAGAGAGACAGAGAGATCAAGAGACAGTCTATGTAAATCAATGTTATTTTGTTATCACAGAACTACAAAAGACTGCAAGTTTTGTATTCATGAAAATTCAGCATATGCCTCGTGTCTCTCTTAATTCGCATATAACTAGCATTTGTGTTTAGACGCACATAAATGTCATCAAGTTGCTCGAGAGATTTGATTAACAAAGTTCAACAACAACAACTCTAAAATGATGCAACTATTTAGTTATTAGCAAATTTCTATTACAAATCATACATGAGCAATCAACAGAGTTTTTGCTTATGTGCATGTGTTTACTTTCGAGGGAATGCATAGAATACTAGAGTTGCTATTTAATTTCTGGGTATCAATTTAGAGATGTAGACAGTAATAATTTCGTATCAATGATAATTTTAGATGATGAAGACGCCAGCGAGCAATAAAATAACAAATTTTACTAAGAGAATAATAAATAAATTATACTCCACAAAGCATGGCTTCAATCAATGTGAATAATACTTCTAAATTTTACCAGAAAAGATTTGATTCAAATTTATTCAATAGCAGAATTTTGAATGAAATTAAATGGAATATTTTTGGGATGTTTTTTTAGGCAATTTTTAAAAAGTGTTTCGCAAAGAAGTCGTAAATCAAGTCTCTGCTCGCTTTGGATAGTTGTGAAACTATCTTTGATCTGAATGCTATCGCAGCCAGAGCAAAAACACTTTCAATTTCCATAGGCTGCCCATAAGGGTGGAGCTCTCTCATTCCCACTCTCTACCCCCCTCTCTGGCTGTCCCACTCTTCCACTCCCTCTTAGCTTTTGACCTATGTGAACGTATGTGCTGATGAAGATTACGTCAGCTGAAAAGTTATTGTTTTGGTCGAGGCATTCATTGAGGCAAGGCGGCCAAGCATAAGAAGCGAATGTGTGTGTGCGTGTGTGTGTTTGTATGTGTGCTTCATTTATATCCATATACTCTTGTGTGCCCTGCGATGCTGCAGCTGGAGGATGTCAGCAGCAGCAGCAGCAGGAAACGTGCAGCAGCTTGTGTAAGCCTCGCTGCCTGCCTGCCTAGCCTGGTGCGGCCAGGCCCGGCCTGCTCTCTGTTAAGAAATAGTTTCGGCATGAAAATTGTGGTCGAATTGAATATAGAGCGAATGCTGCTGCTGCTGCTGCTGCTAGCATGTGTATGTGTGCGTGTGTGTGTGGCAGCTGCCCTGGGGGCGCATCAGCAACACTGGCCAAGCGTGAAAATGACCAGAAAACATTAAAAATAAATCTAAATTGCACATTTGTGGCTTAAATATCATTTACGGCCCGAGCACAATACCAAAATGTTCACTTGAAATTTTGCGCCCAGAAATTGGCAAACATATTTCGTGCTTTGGCTCCCATTGATGGCCTGAAGGCAGCTTTATCGAAATATTTGAATACGAAATAAGCTGAAATAGTTGCGTTTCTGTTGGCTAGATTCAGGGAAGGACTCATTGACTCCTGCGCCACCAAATGGTGCTAGGTGAGGCTTGGCTTTTAAGCCGCTCTCTGTCGTAAGCGGCTTGGCGGCTTAAAAAATGCCAAATTTTGAGAGATTTTAGTTCACTTTTGATGTTTCGCGTTGAACGAATGGGAGAACGGGGCAGATTGTAAAGGAGTCTGTCAGCTGTTGGTTGATAATGCCACAGCGCGTGGCAATCGTTGCTATGAGGCGCGTTTAGATGTCGATATTTATATGTGCGTATACTTCATAAGCTATGAGCGCTCAGGTTCAACAAAATTTTGCTATAATTAATTGATCTACTTTTGTCAAATGTTTGCAAATCATATTGCTGAGCATTTAAAAATAAATTTATGATCTTAGAAGTAATCTGCAAATAGTTGGCATTTATTTATTGACATTTATTTTACAATTTAATGAATCGAAAATTATGTACGTTAAGCTGCATTGACTTCTATATTCTATATTCTATATTCTATATTCTATATTCTATATTCTATATTC